GCTTTATAGGGAGAAATCCAGGCACAACAAACCCCACCACCTGCTGCTGCTGCTGCTGCTGCTGCTGCTGTTGCTGCTGCTGCTGCTGCTGCTGCATCTGTATTCTTCTTACTTGCTGCTGCTTTGCTCTGTGTCTCTGCTTCATCTTCACTATATCTACAAACACTTTCTCCGCTTTCCTTCGCCGCCACCACCGCTGAATTTTTGCTGCAGCAGCAGCATACAAGCTAACCTCGTGGGGCCCCCCAGGGGGCCCCTGCTCAATTACTTCCCTGGGGGCCCCCTTGGGGGCCCCCCCGGGGGGCCCCTTGGGGGGCCCCTTGGGGGGCCCCTTGGGGGGCCCCTTGGGGGGCCCCTTGGGGGCCCCCATGGGGGGCCCTTTGTGTGGGGGCCCCTTCGGGGGCCCCTGCTGAGAGGGTCCTTTGGGGGGACTCTTAGGAGAGGGGCCCTTGGGGGGCCCCTGAGGGGGCCCCCAAGGGGCTGCTGCTGCTGCTGCTGCTGCTGCTGCTGCTGGTCGGGGGGAGTTTGCTGCGCTTCGCGTGGATGCGTCTCTGCGTCTTTCTTTGATTCTTTGAATCCTTGATGCTTCTGCTTTCTGCTGCAGCAGCAGCAGCCATTCCTGCTGCTGCTGCTGCTGCATGCATGCTGGGAGGCTGCGCGGTGTCTTCTCAGGTGTATGTGCACCTGATGGGGGCCCCTCTAAAGAAGCAGCAGATACACCCGGAGCAGCAGCAGCAGCAGCAGCAGCAGAAGCAGCAGCAGCAGCAGCAGCAGGAACTCTTGGAGAGGTGATATGCTCAAGCGAAGCAGCACGCTTCTGCTGCTCCTGCTGCTCCTGCTGTTGCTGCTGCAGTTCCCGCTGGTGCTCCTGCTGCAGCTCATGCTGCTGCTGCTGCTGCTCCTGCTTCTCATTGTCTTTCACTGCCGCTCTTTGTTTGCTGCATGCATCATCTGCTGCTGCTGCTGCTCCTGCTGCTGCTGCTGCTTCTGCTGCAGCAGCTGCTGCTGCTGAGGGGGAGGAGGAGGACTCAGTCAATACGGCAGCATCTGCTGTCTTTGTTTTGCTTCGCGGGGGCCCCTGGGGCCCCCGGGGGCCCTTAGAAGGGTACTGGGGAGGCCCCCTTCCCTTGGGGGAAGCTGCGCGGGTCTGCTGCCTTCTCCTTCCCTTGCTGCTGTCGCTGCTGCTGCTGCTGTCGCTGCTGCTGCTGCTGCTGCTCCTACTTATGCTGCTGCTGCTTTCTTTGTATTGGGGTTGAGGAGGGGAAATAGAGCTGCTGAGGATTTTGTTCGTTGCCTTCATGCTGCTGCTGCTGCTGCTGCTGTTGCTGCTGCTGTTGCTGCTGCTGGTTGGTCTGCTGCGGCTGTGTGCATGCGTCCGCCTTTTACTGTATTCACGGCTACGTCCCCTGCTGCTGCTGCTGCTGCTGCTGCTACTACTAATGTTACTGCTGCTGCTGCTGCTCCTGCTTCTGCCGCTGCTGCTGCTGCTGCTGCGTATATGTTTATGTTTATGCTTATAGGGGGCC